CCTTCTCCTCTTCCTCCTCCTCTCCCTCCTCCTCTCCTTCTCCTTTTCCTTCTTCTGCACTGGGGATTGAACTCATAGCCTTCATACTAAGCTATAGCCCCAGCCCTTTTTATGTTCTAAAACTCTGCAAATATTTCCTACATATCATCTGTTGGCCCATTGTGTTCTAGACACTGGAGGTAAAGGCAAGCCAGTCCTCCTGCAGTTTACCCTCTGTTCAGTAGACACATGAAAACCACAATAACAGTATGCAAGCCAGAGGACGCAGATGGCGGTGGTGGCACCTACTGTGAAGACAGGCAGCTGGCTAAGGGAGAGAGTAAGCAGGACTCTGTCTGTGCTATACACAAATGTTCCCCTGAGGGTCTGGGAGAAGTGGTTCCCCTTGGCTTCCTTTGGGCTGTGTGTGCTCAGGGAACAGAGAGGACAGTGGGCTGGAATCAGTGTGTGTGGAGAGTAAGCCATGGTTGTGGGGAATGGGAGACACACCCCAGTACCTGGGTCTGGGGAAGGGTTTGGCGTCTCTCTACATGTGGTAGGGCATAGAATGGTTTCACAAGGAGAATGGCAAAGCACTGCCCCTCAGAGAGATGACTCTGGCTCCAAAGTGGGAGAATCTCTTGGGTGGAGGATGAAAGGAAGCAGGCAGACCTATTAGAAAAAACAAAAACAAAAACAAAAAACATGTTTTTCTTTATAATTTACCAGTTCTGTGACCTGATTTTCTCCAACTATACCATGGATTAGTGATCTCCATGTGCTTCTGGTATTTAAAGATACAGCTTTTGTGTACTTGTTACCTTTTCTACAAGGGTCACTGTTTGTCAAACACAGGGCCCAATCTTACTCTTCTTTAATTCCCAGCACACTCCCTTGTGCTGTAAGAGTCCGGCTAGATCAGGAGGCCACACATGGGCACATGCCTGCCTGTGTTAGCTGTTCTCCGGATAAGAGTGCTTGGATGTGTTCATGCCCTGCAGAAGTTTTCTCTGGGCTTCTTGATGAACTTGCTTGCTGGGGATTTTACCCTGAATGTAATAGGCAGCCATTGAGGGCTCTTTTAGCAAAGGCTGATTTTTGTGTTTTGGAAATTTCACTCAAACAGTGATGAAATGATTCAGGAAGGGGCAAGGAAAAGAAACAGATTGACACATTGATTTATTAGAAAATCCCCTCTGGTCATGATATTCTAGAGAGCCCTTAGGCAAAATCAGAGACTTGTGCCCATGAAGAAGGAGCTCATTTTTTCTGGTATAGAAGTTTGAATCTAGGGGCGTCACACTGAGCTATATGACTTCATTTTTATTTTGTTCAAGTTCAAAATTTTGAGATAGGGTCTTCCAAGTTGTCCAGGTTGGGCTTGAGCTTGTGAACCTCCTGCCTCAGTTTTCTAGAGTGCTGGGATTACAGGCGTGCCCAAAACCACTTCTGTGGCAAGCCTTCAAACACTAGGAGACAGAAAGTGTGAGACTCCGCTTATTTATAGTTGGGGGAAATGAGGTACAAAGAGACAAAGTGACTCATGTGCCAAGGATTTCTGACTTCAAGGCCTCCTCTTAGCTAATGTGGATACCAGATTCCATCACTTAAGGAGTCAAGTAGGGAGAGGGAGAGTTTCTGCTTGCACCACAATGGAATGGAGCACAGGGAAAGGGGAGGAGGAGCGGGTATCCTCTGCAGAAACCGTGACAAATGCTCTGATACCTTAATTTTGATACTCCCACAATCCAAAAAGTGCTAAAATAGGCTGCTGCGCCTTGTTACGAAACCAGAGCAGATCAAACAGAAGAAATAAGCAAAACTTGAGCCAGCTAGAGGATAATCCTTGTGGAGAGCATGCAAATCCAAGCGAAAATAGATCAGACATTTTCCCAAGAGGCACAGCACTCGGAGATCCTGGAACCAAGACTCTTACATAAAAACAGAAAGGAATGAGGTTGGGAGGAGGGGGTTACCTTCACACTTGGAGATAGCAAGTATTGCCAGTAGAGTAAGGATTGAGATCCCAACCAGCTCTCTCCATTCTGAGCTGGTGGTCATCTCACTTCCTTATAATTATCCAGGGCCAAACTATTTGCCGTACAGAAAAGCAAAAGAGTGGGTGCCATCAAAGCAGTCTCAGAGGATCTTTGTGCATGTTGCCCGCACGCACACACACTGCTTTAGGTGTGTGAGGTCTTCCCTTTACTAAGCAGTGTGAACCCAATAGCATTCTTTTAATATCTGCACTTCTGCTGTGATTCAGAGGCACAGATTAGGGAACCCACAAGCAGCCCTAGCCTTGTCCAACCCCTTTATTTCACAAATGAAGACTGAGATCCATGGAAGAGGCTGAAAGATCTGAGTCAACCTTCCCCCAACTGCAGGACACTCTCCACTCCAGAAACGAAAACTGTCTTCTTGATACCTGTGTACTAGCTTCTGTTCTCAAGTATCTATTCTCAAAAGGAAAACAGTTGAAGTCTAGACAATTTCCAACACACTGCTTTGGCTAGGGCCTGGAATCTAGGCATACTGATTAGTGAATTTCTGAAGATTTTTAACTTTGGAAATTTGGTACTACCATGATAGTAACACAGAGAATCACTCATTCAATAAATATTTACCGAATGTCCATTATATACTGGAATGTTCCTTGGTCCTTTTTGTAATTTTAACTTCTGAATTTCTCTAATTGTAAGATGCAGGTATCATCATTCCCCTATTTTTCATATGGGGAAATAAAATTCAGAAAAGCTAAGAGACTTTCTCCAGGTCACAGATTTTAGAAGAGCAGACTTTGGATTTGACCCTCTGTTGGGTTCCATTATGCTGGGTGCCTCAGATGCACTATTTCAGATGCTCTCCCAATCTGGATTTTTCTGGACTCATCCTCTTCTGGGCTGGCAAGTGAGTCTATGAGCTCAGGTTACACCCAAAATTTATAAACCCCTCCGGGAGCTCAGCACAGCGACTCATGAAAGCTGAACTGGACTCTAAACAGGTCCAGCTGAGATCCAACATTATTCTTAATTGTGGCCGGACCTCCTGGAGGAGTTTATAAGACACATGCTTGCTGACCCATGGGAAGGCGATACTTTAAGGGTCTAGATGTAAGAGGGATGGACTCAGGCTTCAGAAAAGTTGTCAACTGTGGCATAGTCTCAGAAAAAAAGTTTGCTGGCTAAGGTCCTTCCACATTGTATGTGAACGTGCTTTTTCACAGTCGACCTGGAGAACTTCCTACACGGAACAAGAATTTCCTCTAGTGTTCTCGACAGCATTCTGTTTCTGTTTCAATGTCTCTAGGAACTGGGAGTTCATTACCTTCCAGACTATTCTAATTGTTAGAAAGGCATAGACTTCATGTTGAGCCAAAAATTGCCTTCCGGATGTGTCTATGCTTTGGGTGCTGGTCTGCTCTCTGGTTTACAAAGATGGAGTCTACCTCCTCCCTACCCAGCAGCCTGGTGGGTATTTAAAGAGAACTTTCATTTTTTTCTACCAGTGTTCCCTAAAGTGCACTCATTAGAATAGTAGGTTTCCCTGATGTTACCAGGTGTCCTTACAAAACAAACACACAAAACTCCATAAATAGCATTTGTGGACAAGTCAGGTTAAACCAGGTCAGCCAGGTACACTTCCTGTGAAAATTCTCCAAATACAGACAGTGTCACCGCAGAGCATGAATTATAAAAGAGTGTGGATATAATTTCCCTAACTTTTGATTTTAAAACCTTTTTCTTTGTTTCTTTCCCCCTTTTTACCTCCCTCCTTTCTTCCTTCCTCCCTCTCCTCCTTTTTTTCCCAGTGTATCTATGATTATTTTCTGTATATACTGTTAGAAATTTTTGCAAGATGCCTTCCTACACAAATTGAAATTCTTATTATTGTTTCTAAGGTAAGAAATAAAGATCCTTTAACTATTTATTTTAAGACATTAATGCTAAGATCTTTTTCACTGTCTTTGCCTTTCTTCTCTGTTAGGACTGTCAGATTAAAACAAGAATGCCCAGTTAAATTTGAAATTGAGATAAACAAAAATGTTTGATATAAGTATAGCCTATGCAATATTTGGGACATGTTTTTTAAAAAAGCTTTGTTGCTTACATGAAATTAAAATATATCTTGGTTTTCTGCATTTTTATTTGCTAAATCTGACAGGAGAGCTCCCAGTGCCACCTTCCCTTGAAAATGAGAACCTCGGAATTGGACAGAATGTTTCAGAGACGGATCAAAGCCCAGACTTTGAAAACTTTGGGTGCCACCTTAACTCTGCTTTTCCCTGAGACATTTTTAAAGGAGAGATAATCACGTCTTAAAAATGGATGATTAGATACCAATCTGAGCTTGACAGATAGCAGATCTTTCTGAATCTAACGGTAAAACCAGCAGCCAGTTTCCCATCCCTCACCCACCCCTATACATAAATATATTTAAGTTTTCTTGTATGTTACTGTTAGGGAATTAATCCAAGCACTATTTATAACTTCATTTCCATTGTCTGTCTCCTCCTTTAGACTGAAAGAAATTGAAAGACAGGGAGCAACTATGTTTGTCTTGGTAACTGCTATATCCCTATAGGTTGTGGTATGTAAGTGTTCAAATTTTTAGAATGAATGAATTACTCAGAAAGTTGCTTGGAAGGTTAAATGAGCCAGATAAATTGACATTCATAGGTGGAAAGATTGCCAGACCTTTTCCTCAAGGTTACAATTTGTCATCCACCCCAAACTTTCTCATACCTATTACTGTACAATGCTGCTTACCTGTACTGAAGGCCATTCTGTTGGAAGATGTGGTGCAAAACAAGAATATCTAATTGCTATGAATAAAATAAAACATTTCAACTAACACAAGCTGTTTTCAAGAAGTTGAATTACTTCCTGGAGCCTGCAATTTTTACTGAGGTGTGGAACTTGGCCCCTAAATCAGTCTGGGCTGTCTCCAATGGGTGTGGGGTTGGGGCACATAACATTGGGTCTTCTCACAAGAAACATCCTGCTTCAAGAGGAGCTGAGCAAAGTGAACAAGGACAGCCCCAGAGGAGGCTGAGCAGTCACAGTGTAGACATGGGAAGCAGTACGAAGGGTTCTGTAGCCTTTCTTTGCCAAGGGGGCATCTGGGGACTGGACACGAACTGCTCCTAGCTTTTGTCCTTAGCCACAGTTGACCAAGCTCACCACTGCACACCCCTAGCAGGAGCTCACCGGAGCTGAGGCTTGTCAACATTGAAAGCAGCCTGGGGACTCTCCCTGGAGTAGGCAGTTACTTATCTGTTGCTTGGCACCTGTGGATTCAGTGTGTTGGGGAGCTAACCCTGACTGCACAAGATGATAAAATGTGGCAGAAAGCAGAGAAACATAGTGAGGAGAGCCTTCAGTCTTGGGTGGTTCCTGCGTCTGAGCCTGAAGACCTGAATTCCCGATCTAGCCCTGCCCCTATTAGCTCCCTGTCCTTAGGCAAGTCTCTCAACCTTAGTCCTCAGATCTGTAAAACCAGGACAGCCAAGCTGACCTTAGCGTTCTTAGGATGATTAGTCAAGACAGCAGATATAAAATCTCTCCGGAAACTTCTGGATGCAGGGTCAACCTGAGGGGAAGTTACTAACTGTCTCCCAGGAGCACTGTGGTCTTCAGCAGCTTGGTGGGTCTGATAGCTGGCTGCCAGGA